CCCAGTTGTCTTAAGGGGGGGGGGGTATACCACCAACTTTGACTGAGTGTAGTTGGAGTTAACAGCAGCCATGAATGACCAACCAAAATATCCTAACAAATGTGTCTTGTAGCAGATAATATTGGCTAGTTACCATCAAGAAGGTTGTCAGTCATTGGCAGTGAAGGTAATTGCTAAATTGGTTGCGTGCATTGATCTAATGTCTGTAAGAAGATCTAGTATTGATGCCGATTGGTCTAGACAATATGTAGTATAGCAGTAATCAAGGCTCAGCTATAAGACTGCAGTCACTCCGCGTGAATAATTTCCCTGTCAATTGTGTGTGGTATAAAATTTACATCACATCAAAAAATCACATTCCTTCAACAATTACTATCGAAGGGATTCATCGGGTGTCATCATGGTGACCGTAAATGCGAACGATGCTATTGACAGTGGGGATGAAGGAAGATCTAACATAGTTCCTTAACGCCCGTGCTAATCTGAGTAGTGTGTAGACTGATTTATTGTAATGTATGGGAGTCAAACCTTACTCTCCATGTAATTCGCCCTTGTTATAAAAGTATCTGGATCAGCAGGGACGTCATCTGGTTGTTGGGAAATGTAGGCGAACAACAGAGGAAATTGTTAAGACACGGCCGTCTAGACCACAGGTTCTCAGTCAGTGTAGACAACAGTAACCTGGTGAATAAGATCTGCCACAAGTTGGCTAAACGGTGTAAATCATAACCAGAAAGCCCGAATTGCTTTCTTTCTCTAAACTGTGGTTGATAGTGCAGGCAGGGCCAGTAGATAACGTAGTCTCTGGTCTTTGGCTGGCACTTCGTTGGCAGGTTGGATGTTATCTAGGTGGTGGGTGACGCTTAGTGTTTCGAAGTCACATTCCAGAGGAAAAATGTACTCTCTGGTATTTGTCACGATGTTTGGCGTCGAGATCCCAAACCGCTCACGGCCAAAACACCAGTCACACCATAAGCCTTACAGATATGGGATGGTCATAGAATATTTCAAACACATAAAATATTCATTATTTTCGGTATTTTAATAAATAATTTCAATTCACTATCGCAGTTGTTCCTCTGAAAATAATACATCACTATATTTCCCTATTTTATCGATGTTGTGTTGTTTTCTGAAGAACGCCTTTTGTAGGGACGTCAACCATATTGTCTCTCTGACGGACGTCCACCTATTGTTCTTTTAGCGACGTCATCCTCTTTGTCCCTCTGATGGGGGTACCACATTGCATAACTCATAAAACTACCATTGCCCCATGTCAATGATATTGTTTGCTGTGTGATGTGACGTAATAGTCAATAAGACTTCATAACTTACCTAGATTATATACCCATTCATTAGTTTCACAACAATCGTGTTGTTAATTTCAGAATAACGGACCTCCTCGCAAACCACGTTTCCAGGAAGTAAATAGAATTTGTAGCTTCGTGGTTGTCATTTAATTTTGAGAATGTACAAACACTCAGCAATTATTGACTCGGCAACAATTAAACCAGCTTGATGCGCCTGTATAATGTTGTGAATTTTAATTTTGTATGCAATGTCAAGCGTTTAGGTCAGTCACCCATCGAGGAATCCAACCATGGCGAGGATCATTTTCTAAATGTCAAATGTCATAACATAACTGGAAATGACTAAGACGGGGCATGTGTACAAAGTGTACACACAGTCTTGGAAATTAAGTATATGTCTATCGCCTATATAGTTAACTACATGTACAATGTAGGTAGTTTTTTTATTCACCAACGGTCGGCTGTCTTTTCAGGCCTGGAAGTCCCATCAGCTTGCAAGAAACCAATAAAAGCCCTTGACAGCAATTGGCTACCTCTTGCAAAGTATACTAGGGGAACTCAGCTACTCTTGCAAAGTAAACTAGGGGAACTGAGCTACTCTTGCAAAGTATACTAGGGGAACTGAGCTACTCTTTGCAAAGTAGACTAGGAGAACTCAGCTACTCTTTGCAAAGTAGACTAGGGGAACTCAGCTACTCTTGCAAAGTAGACTAGGGGAACTCAGCTACTCTTGCAAAGTAGACTAGGAGAACTCAGCTACTCTTGCATAGTAGACTAGGGGAACTCAGCTACTCTTGCAAAGTAGACTAGGGGAACTCAGCTACTCTTTGCATAGTAGACTAGGGGAACTCAGCTACTCTTGCAAAATAAACTAGGGGAACTCAGCTACTCTTGCAAAGTATACTAGGGGAACTGAGCTACTCTTTGCATAGTAGAATAGGGAGACTCAGCTACTCTTTCAAAGTAGGCTAGGGGAACTCATCTACTCTTGCAAAGTAGACTAGGGGAACTCAGCTACTCTTGCAAAGTAGACTAGGGGAACTCAGCTACTCTTTGCAAAGTAGACTAGGGGACTCAACTACTCTTTGCAAAGTATACTAGGGGAACTGAGCTACTCTTTGCAAAGTAGACTAGGGGAACTCAGCTATTCTTGCAAAATAGACTAGGGAAACTCAGCTACTCTTGCAAAGTAGACTAGGGGAACTCAGCTACTCTTGCAAAGTAGACTAGGGGAACTCAGCTACTCTTGCATAGTAGAATAGGGGAACTCAGCTACTCTTTGCATAGTAGACTAGGGGAACTCAACTACTCTTGCAAAGTAGACTAGGGGAACTCAGCTACTCTGCATAGTAGAATATGGGAACTCAGCTACTCTTGCAAAGTAGGCTAGGGGAACTCATCTACTCTTGCAAAGTAGACTAGGGGAACTCAGCTACCCTTTGCATAGTAGAATAGGGGGACTCAGCTACTCTTGCAAAGTAGGCTAGGGGAACTCATCTACTCTTGCAAAGTAGACTAGGGGAACTCAGCTACTCTTGCAAAGTAGACTAGGGGAACTCAGCTACTCTTGCAAAGTAGACTAGGGGACTCAGCTACTATTGCATAGTAGACTAGGAGAACTCAGCTACTCTTGCATAGTAGACTAGGGGAACTCAGCTACTCTTGCAAAGTAGACTAGGGGAACTCAGCTACTCTTGCATAGTAGAATAGGGGAACTCAGCTACTCTTTGCATAGTAGACTAGAGGAACTGAGCTACTCTTGCAAAGTAGACTAGGGGAACTCAGCTACTCTGCATAGTAGAATATGGGAACTGAGCTACTCTTGCAAAGTATACTAGGGGAACTGAGCTACTCTTTGCAAAGTTGACTAGGAGAACTCAGCTACTCTTTGCAAAGTAGACTAGGGGAACTCAGCTACTCTTGTAAAGTAGACTAGGGGAACTCAGCTACTCTTGCAAAGTAGACTAGGAGAACTCAGCTACTTTTTGCATAGTAGACTAGGGGCAATCAGCTACTCTTGCAAAGTAGACTAGGGGAACTCAGCTACTCTTGCAAAGTAGACTAGAGGAACTCAGCTTCTCTTGCAAAGTAGACTAGGGGAACTCAGCTTCTCTTGCAAAGTAGACTAGGGGAACTCAGCTTCTCTTGCAAAGTAGACTAGGGGAACTCAGCTTCTCTTGCAAAGTAGACTAGGGGAACTCAGCTTCTCTTGCAAAGTAGACTAGGGAAACTCAGCTTCTCTTGCAAAGTAGACTAGGGAAACTCAGCTACTCTTGCAAAGTAGACTAGGGGAACTCAGCTACTCTTTGCATAGTATCCCCTACAGAGGGCAGGATTAGCACACTGGTGGCAGTGGTACCCCTCCCCGTATTTAGATAATAAGGGATTAAACGTATTCGAGACCCAGGGGTGTTCCCCACATGAGTAGTACTTTGCCCACACCCACCCTACCCTAAACAAACGGCGATGTCCGTATTCATTTATCTTGTCTTCGCCACATTGAATTGGGTTGGAAATCTACCGATCTTAATTTGATCATATGTTGATAATAACAGTTGATAATTTCAAACCAGTTACGTAATAAAACCAAGAAATATGTGTGATATTTATCATAATATATACAAAGCTTTATTTTAATAATTCATGAAGTAACAATAACAATATAAACAAAGAACAGAGCAGCTATATAACGAATTACAACATAAATCTGTATAAGACAATGCTGGACTTAATGTATATGGTATGGCAGTCTGTCGCCATTCAGTTTCCAGCTACCCCAGTTATATTCCAAATAACAAAATAAATATAGCAAAGTTGGTGCAATCCATTGCTTAAAGCTGCATTCTATCAACAATACCTCTTACATGGAAACCCCGCATTTATTTTTTAAAAACAAATATGGCGTTGATCCCTACTGAGTAGGTCTAAATCACATATAAACGACATTACAAAAAAAGACGTCTGCACCTTCTGAGGAGGAGAAATTAACACTGAAAATGTATCATGTTTAATGTATGTATGCCACTTAGAATGCACGGTTATTGCGCATGATCGATATTTACATAATGTATCTCTTGTGTTCAAATGTAAGTGTTTAATGTATGCGTGCGTGCGTTCTTGCACCCTCGTCTGCAACAAGTTTAAAAAAAAATGCATGTAACAGTCACCTACTTCAAAAACTAAAATATCTTGGCAACGGGGACCAAAAAATATCTGCAAACATGCGACGGGGTATATGGACGTAAAATCCATAACACACTAAATCAGGCTTATGTACCCGCCTTTAAAACGTCTAGAGAAAATCAGACCTGCTCGTCGCACTTGTCTTAATTGAGGAAATGGAAAGCATAATGACTGTGTTCATTGCAATCGGTGTTGACAATTATAACAATAACGCTTACATTAAATGTGCGCCATGCATATTGTATACTTTATAGCCATACTACGTGATTGTTTAATTTCTACCTCTCATCGAAAATCGATTGAGTGAAATAGAAATGGCTTATTTCACTACACCTCATTACTTATAATTGGCCGCGTTATTCAGAAGTTTTCCTCCGCCGGATTTGCTTTTTTCTACCCTGGGTAATGAATTAATAGTTTCTCTGTTATTAACACATAATGTATATTTGCATCACAGTTGATTCACGGTTCGTCGGTGTACGTCGTGTATTCTGGTAGTGTATTTTGGGTTAATGAAGAGTTCGGCGGCGGTAACACATTGTCAGATTATAGCAGAACGCCAGTCTCTTTTTGTACAAGGCTCATTTTCAGAACCGATACGAATTTGTGACTTTGGTATCTGTTTTTTTTTTTCATGAGTTGAACGTTAAGTTTCTTCTAAGTGTTCGAAAAAAAACTACGACCGTTCCGACATCATGATGGCGTGTTCACGGGCGTCATCTTCGTCAGAACTGTCCCCGGACTCAACAATAACGCCCATCGACGGCGACATTTGCTCCGACATTAACAATTCCTCGTCATCATCATCTATCTGATGCGTCTCCTTTCGCCACTTATCAACGTGATGTGATGATTTCGATTTCTGGTCATCGTCCTCGTCGTCATCGTCGTCAACTTTTATATCTTCTTCCGCCTTAACTCTCTTATACTTCGTCCTTCTGTTTTGGAACCACACTTTCACCTTAAATGAAAAATAAGAAATTAGATAAATAAAATGTGTTTTTTAACGTAAAATGTAACCACTTGACCAACAATCAACAGACAATTTCACCCAAAATTAGTTGAAAATGGTAATGGTCCCGGGGTTTACATTCCAACTGAGAACTGAGAGGTCGCACCTAAGATCGCTTTTAAATTGGCATCATAAATTCCAGTGAAACATGGTAATTAGTGACAACTGATTTATTGGTGTCTAAAATATGATGGCATTGGGCATCAATCATTAAAAAAACTTCAAATAATAATCTCACAAACTTTCACACTTGCATGGTCGTTTATACCTAAGTGTACGTGAAATGTAGTTGTGTGTATGTGCATTTAAAACCAGTACCAGACATGATAACAATAATCAACAGCTAAATATAAAATAAATGGTCGCGCAGATTAAATGTATGATAACATGACCAACAGAAGTTGTTCGTGTGATTTCATAATTAAATACAGTTTTTCATAAGCTCAATATTACAAAGAAATTTATTTGGTTAAATCGCCTGAGCTTGTTTTTCAATCACAATTAACACCCACGGCGTACAACTTACACATTGGTATTTGACGGATTTTGTTAAAACAGTAGGAATTTCCATTTCAATTTTGTCATTATTTGAGGGGGTGAAAAAACACGAATTACATTAGCTCGTTGTGTATTGCATTATTTATATGAACACCCCTTCAAAATCAGTCTGTTGTTTTTAGAAAATTGAAGAAGTAAAATAAATAATAAACAATAACGATAAAACGGCGCATTTGAATCGGTGTGTGGTTCTGGATAGTAATCGGATCAAAAGATCACATATGACGCGTCCGAATGTTATATACCATGGAACTACATATAATGAATTATTAGAACGCAATTGTTTGTATTTGACTCACCAGTAAAGTAATGAAAAAAAGTTTGCGAATGGAAAATAACAAATTCGGTGTTCACTGTCAACATTCCCACCCGTGTGATTGCACGCTGGGTGGCTATGGTATTTTGCAACTAAACATCCGGTAATACGCCGAAAAATACCGATGGTAAGCAGCATTGGCAGAATTGTTAAACTGTACAGAATTTAATTTACAAGCTTTCAAATATTGTGAATATTGAAATTTCAATCGAAGATTTTTTTTTCGAAATTTCTAGCGACCACAAAGGCCGTTTACTTTAGCTGCGGGTTGCCAATTAAACCCTGACTACCAATGGGCTTACCGATGGTAAATAGGAAAGTAAACAGGTTCATTAAATGATTGTCTCGATAAAAATTAATATCACACATTTCAATAACTCGGACATTTCTTGTTATTAAATAATTGTGTCTGGGTATATCCTATAATCGGGGGACATCTGGGTCCCAGTAAAATAATCCGAAACACAGTACGATGCACAATAGCGTGCTGGCGCTGACAAAAGCACACGCAATAAGATAACGGAAAATTTGTGTAAATTTCAAACAACAAATCGGCTACTATCACCCGATAGATGGAAACACCCTGTGTTGTTTAATATGAAATTGACCATAAAATTAAACGGATCTCAAAAAGCCGAAGCAACGAGTGGCCGGCACGGCCTCATCAAGAACTCAAGGTTTGCCAACACGATTATCGAAAATGCAATAAACGACCCGTCCCGCAACCTGCCCCAGCGTTGAATGTTATTAATTAAAAGTAATCACATCTCAGTATTATAAAAATATAAATCTACGCGGTATTTATTCATTGTTTACCGTGCGCACGTCATCCTATTTGTAGGGGATGATGATATTTTCTGTGGTTTACACTCGTGAAACGTGAGAAGTATTCATCATTAATTTTTGAAGGATTTTTGTGCTTTACTTTGGGGCTAGTAATTTTCACTCAATGCCGACAAAATTTCAGTAACCTTAGAAACGGGTGGCTTATTTTATTGAATCGGGTCCATGTGGCCTCGGTGGGATCGCTGGTTGTGTGGTCGATCCGTTGACCCGGTCTATCTCGGTCGCGGCTGTTTTCATATGAATTAGCGGAAAATGGACACCGTAAATCAACTTGGCTAGCTGTCAAAAGAACGAGCAGTCTTAAGTCAGGCTTGTTCTTCAGTTAAACAAACCTTCAGACCAACCAAATCGGACTAACTAAACCTGTGCGTGACGGAAGTTCGGACAAATTCACGGTTAACTGTGAAAATAAAAACAGAATCTAGAATCATTGCTAATTCAGCAGTTAGGCAAAGCGTTCTCCTGTGTCCGGCTTTTCTGTGAATTGCCCCATGAATACATTTTGACATACACTTTATTATCACGTCTTGGTCACAAAGTCTTAAACTAGTTTTCGAGTTTTGGTTGCGATGTAAAGTGGTTGGGGGGACATTGTGTCGTCCTACAGTTTACAAGATATTTGTTCTATTTATTTATTCAATTAGGAAATCGTCTCGTATATATTTTGCTGGTCAAGTTGTTGTAAGATCAGGAAAGATCAGGGCGTGATCAATCAGGGCGTGGCGAGAATGCCGAGTTCGATTTCACTCATAAATATAATTTTGTGATTTGAAAAACGATCCCCAGCATGTCATTATCTAACTATCAGTTATTTCACTGATTTAAAGTTTATTTGGGGGTATGAAAATAGCGTCAACGGCGTAGAGCTTGGCTGATGTTTGCACCGACTCGAATCAATGAATTCGAATAAAGTGAGTTTCCCCTTTCACGCATTGTATGTGCTTGCACGTGGAACACAGAATCGACACGATGGTGGCCACAAATGACACGCAGAGCTCGAATACTTCAGTATATAGACCATCTCACTCATCGCGAAGCCACTAGTCTAATAATAATATAAACTTGGTTTTAACAGGTCATAAAAAAATCATCAAAAAAGTGAGGGTCTGTCAATTGTCCGCTAGTGAAAACGAAAGCATTTTTACGCATATTAAAATCTCTTAAAACGGCACATTTCGATGTTTTATATTCACACCGACATTTTCGGACGTCGTGTGCTATGTGTCGTATAGATATTGCCAAAATATAGCGGCGAGAAACACAACCGCCTATAATCGTTTTAGGAAATGCAATGTCTAACCGAAGCATTCGCGATCGAAAGTCAGCGGCGGCTCTAAAGCTGAAACAGAGTCTGGTACGCGGAACACGCTCATATAACAGCCACCACTGAGACCGGTCCCAATGTTAATCGACAGATATATTGCTTATGTACAACACGGTGAAAATCCGATCTTAACAACGACCCTCGAACAAAAATTGCTACTTTATAAGGCTGTATATGTTTCCGATTTGAATAGTTGTTAACAATTAAAATCGCTGGCTAGAGATCGACTTGAGTGTATGGAATCCATGTATACAATGCTTACACTGAATGATCTTCCACTTAACGAGCGATATCGTAAAAGTTACCGCGCGGTTATGAGTTGGGACAAATGACAGTGAGTTTTAGGCTCTGTATTTTTTCGCCTAAGGCGATTTTTGAGTCTATCTTATTACTTAATGGCGCGTTGAGAGCTGGATGGCATTTGACGGGTGTGTTAGCGTTTTAGCATTTGACGCCGCACCGCTGCTCGAATTCACATGTGCGGCTTGTCCATCATAGTTTGTAGTCGATGGGGAGCGGTCCTGAGGTCGTACTTGAAACTACATGCTCACTATTTACTCGCTGTTTTTAGATCGGTGTTGCTTCTCGTCAGCGGACAAATTAACAAGTATGTACTAGGTGTAAACTATTAAGTTATAACTGCCACGCTGTTAATAAAGTAATTGCGAGGTAGTGCAATTATGCAGTGTAAGACTATGGACCGCTTCGTGTCATAGATACCTTTCAGTGTGGTCAGAACTTTAGAAAATTAAGTCAAGGGCTGTCAATGATCTGAGGAAAAGTTGTTAATTCTATCAAACCTACCTGTGTTTCTGTCAGATTTAGACTGGAGGCAAGTTGTTTTCTCTCTGCACCCACGACATAGTGGTTCTTCTCAAAGGCATGCTCCAACCGAAGCAGTTGGGACGGGGAGAATGCCGTCCGTATCCTCTTGGGTTTCCTGAACGGGTTTTGCAGCATTAGACCTCCATGCATGGGATCGCCACCTACAGAAAGATGCAACCCAGAACATCGTGTTAATGACTCGATATTGAAAACATTACTCCGTTTAGAAGGGGTGTATGCTTACCGATGATTGAACCCTTTCTCACCGGGAACATGCAACGTGAGTGACACAAACATTAATTATATATTATACAGATATTAATTCACATTTCATAACTTTTATTTGTACGACTACCCACGAACGCGGGTTAGTATTTCAGGTAAACATTATTTGACTGGTATTTATGCTATTTGTGCATTTACCCCGGCACATGGAACATAAATATCGCCTTAATTATAAATACTGTCAGTGACTCGGTATTTTGCTCTTGATTAATGCCGTCATTACTTCCAAAGCAACAATCCATAAAGTAAACACAATCCACCACCTCCATCAGTAGCTTGGATTTCCAGTATAGAAACGACATTCAAAGAGCGATCGGATACAACCAAACCTTCTTTGTCAATTTGATGAACTTAAGGTTATTTTTAAATTAGTACCAGTTTTAATTTGGTTTTACAAAAAAGAAAAAAAAAACGAGAAAGGAGATCTATTAACACCCGGGTGTTTATGGTTTCCCAAGAAAGGTGATAACCACCGAAACACGGGGAAAACAACAACCCCGTAAACAACCGTAATTACTTATAAACGTCTTTGCCGAATTTCCCTTTGTGTTTGGAGACATGTTGAAACGACTTTCAGCAGGTATTAATCGTTTTATTATTTCTGGATGAATGTTTCAATTTGTCGAGTAAATTTACGCTAATAAGATAAGAAACGTAGAAACACTCAGCGTGAAATCTGGGACCCTTGCGAACTGTCTATAAAACATATCAGTGTTTTTTTTCATTCTTTGGTCCCGTCTATGGATACCTCTACCGCTTTATTAGTTTCAATAATATCAAGGTTCGTTGGATCGCTTTTCAAATGAAATAAATGTGGTAGAAATCCCTCTCCAGGTTTCCCCGGAAACTTCCAAGTATATTCTTCCCCTTATTTTCCAACTGACTTCCCACATCACGATTGACGTTATGTTGCTGACTGTTTTGATTGTTGCTGTCCGGGGCCCTAACTCTTTAGTAGACGCATTGTGTTCAACTCGCGTGATATTGGTTCACGGTAAACATGTTCTAGGGTGTGTGCAAACTTTTCGCTATTGTCGCACTTGAAAACAGTAAATATACAAAACTGTTATTGAATCAACCCGTGTTTCTTAAAACCATGCCACGTTTAATATTGAAATCATCGTGAGTCGTAGTTGTCACCAAATTAGAATGAGGAGACATACGGGAACACGCAATTGGTGGTGATATAAGTTTAACGATTGAAGCGAGCTGCATAATTTAACACAATCGTTAATGTTTCGTCTGATTCGAGCATTTTGATAGTTCGCACTCAAACATGCCACAAACTAAACACTGGGATGGCGAATGATTGTTAGCGATGACAGCAAAAAAGTTTTGAAAAAATAATAAAAAAAAAACTTACCAGGAAAACGGGGTCCGAGAAATCTCGACCTGGACAAAAACCATGGATAAAATCCCAGAGATTCCCTGTGGTGGTTAAAAATGGGTGGCAACGAATGGTGAGAAATATGATGTGACGGTGAGTGTCCGAGACCAAATGGTGGTGGTAGCGACAGGCCGTGAGCTTCAGGGTGAAACGCCGGGTCGCTGTAAAGGCTTTTCATTGAATGTAACGTACTGAGGTAGGGGGAACTCATGCTCGGCGTGACTGCGGCCGCCGCTGCACTGAGACACGAAGCGGCGGTTCCGCACGAACCGAGGGGTTTGATTGTAGATGCTATCGATGAAGGAATTGGGCTGTTTTCACTTGAAAAGTCCTTCCCGACCAGGGATTCGATGCTGAAGCAGCTAGGTTTCGGCTGAAACATACTTTTTGTAGATGTATCTCTCCTGCACGGTATGGTGGCCATATATAACGTTGTAATGTCCTGCTACACAACTTAGAAGTGAAACGGCAATGGGTTCTCCACGCACTCTACAACTTCAAAAGGATGGCTAACTCCAACGAGCACACTCCAGTACACGGTCCCGAAACCACCAATACGTCGAGGATTCCACTTTCTGATGTCGTCGGTACTTGATCTCACTTAATTAGCTGGACTATTTGGGTAAAATACGCGTGTTGGCGCTGTTCTAATGGTATTCTGATTGGTTCCAATGATGTGTAACTGTCAATAAGGGAAGACATCAGATTACCCTTATAGCTCAGTAATGCAGAGTACTATAAAACTCCTATTACGCCCTGATTGGTTCGCCTTACAACCAATTACAAAGCCTGTGCTAGTGCGCCCATCGTAAAACTGGTCTCCGTAGCAATTAGTTCGTGGACTCACCACACCGACATTAATCAGTCAATTTATCCGACCAGTCAAATCTATAGACAGCCCGCCTTCAGCTGAAAAATGACCAGTCGCTCGGCAGACTGAGTGTTCTTCGCTCCGACAAACTTTGTGAACTGATCACGAATCGCCAGGCAGCATCGATTTCACTGTTCGCATCATCGCCTACGCACACATGCTTGCGCATCTAAGGGAAATGCATGCAAATTACTTTTGTATAGAAAAAAATCGTTTTGAATCTTTGTAAAAGGAGGAGTGCATGTAAATAGAAGGGATGGTGGTTTGTTTGTATCTATGTATTGTGAACCACGACAGAACTCTTTTATATGGTAATAAGCCAATGAGTGAACTCAAGTCAACACGATTGTTTAGAAAGGAGAGTATTAAGTGGTATAGACTAAACAATATGTTTTGCCAGTGGTCAACTCGATATCTAATCGGTCCTTATCTGCCCAATCTCACAGGTGTCACTAGGCTTCCACTTTCTATTATGACTTTATTTCTTCCGCGTCCCAGCGGCGCTGCACCCGAAACGCCGCGCTTTCACTGTGTCGGTTTCCCGGGAAAATAGCGATTTCTCCACTGGCCGTGCCAGGAGATGCTTATTCCCCCTACATCGATTGCCCCAGCTTAACTTCATCAGCGAAATAATTACTCCTCCAAACACACAAAAAAATTCTAAAACAGTGTGCATGGTGATAACAATAGGCTAAAACGTTAATCAGGCCCATGTAAAGCTGTTCATATTATAGGGGGGAGGAGTGAATTGGAAGTTACCGGGACCCTTCCTTTCACTGCTGCCAGTCACTAATGCCAAAAGATTAGGGCCAGTAATTAACTCGTTGCCTAACACCATGGAATGGTACGAATCCATTCATTTTCTCCTCCCCTTTGATTTAGCAAAACGAGACCAAAACTTCTATGGAAGATCCTGACTCAAAGTATTGGTCTTTCAACGTAACGATTTACGTACGAGTCAAACCCGAGTATAACTGACTGACATCGAGACGACCGCGCCAACTCAGGTGAAGTTTGTGCGCATGCTCATGGCTACAACTTCGTGTGTACTGTATGTAATATGTAGAAATACTTCGCGCCTAATAAAAATAAGTGATGTTTTTGTTGTGAATGAATGTATTATTTTTCTATGGAATAACACCATTACCGAGAAAAAGTAATGACACCGATACATGGAGCCCGGGCGAACACATAAAATTTAATTCCATCATGATTTCGACAACGCATCGGACTTCGCTTTTTACTCACTCTTTTCTACAATCGCATGCCGCTAACGAGTGGTGCGGTCTTCAATACGATAGTTTACTAACATCTACTTGTTGTTCTGTGTTATACAATTTTCTCTACATGTTTCCAATGTTGGGCTCAGTTCTATGTTGCCATGGGAATTGTTCGCGGGTGTGCGCGGCGCGGGGGTCGGGGTAGTGTGCGTGTACATTTGGTTATCACCAGATATAACCTGTCTAAACATTTTCCCGGCTAAACCTCATAACGAAGTATCAAATATATCGTGATTACGGTCCTTGTCACGGTTGCCAGATGCGTGCAGCACCGAACGGGTTTACAATGGAGATAGGCTTCACTTAATAGAATTGCCATTGCTTCTTGACGCATACATGTAAACAGCCATTTTATATACGGTAATCAACATCAATTGAGTACCAATAAGGGCTTTTGGGATTCCCATTCATGGTTCCATACGCGAACATTTTACCTATTCTGATTATTTGAGTGTAGTCGCAAGAGCATTGAAATGAGGCGAGAAATGGCTTATTTTGTCGAGCTTTATGATGATGAAGCGAAGCAACGAATGAAGCACAGAAAGAAAGGCGCGAGCCGCATTTCAAATTGCCCTCGACGGACACGGAAAGCTGTTAGAAACCAACATGGAAGCCACACAAGCTGTCATCGAGATGTTCATATATTGTAGTGAGAAGTAAAGGCGACTGAATCGAACGGGAATTAATACACTACATGATATCCACTTTGTGTCAAACAATTATTTTCTTTCTTGTTACAAAGCGTTCTTTGCAGTAACGAACAGCTTGTAACAGGGAGGCTGCTATGCCGAGCATTGTTTCGGACAAGATGTTACACCAACTAACTCCTGTATTCCCCCCTTTAATCGGGCAATAACTATCGAAGAGACGACGATTTCGTATCGCGCCTTCCCCTTGCCATAACATGGCATACTCTATCAAATGTACAATCAAATAGAGCTTATACTGCTCTGTACTTTTAATATTCGTGTGCACGTCAGCTGGTTGGTTTAATCGATATTACAGTACATCCGACCGGTGCCCGACGACTGCGTGTTGTTGTTTTTTTGTAAAAAATCCACTACAGTTCTAATCCACGCGTAAACAATTACATATCTTCGTGTTGAAATTGTCTACCCCTGTCGCACGGTGATCAAACTAAATTAAACGGAAATACCTCTATTTGGAAGGAAATAAAGGAAATTGGGAATCAGGGGCAGGGGTGACGCAAACCTTGTGACCCCGAAGGTCGAGGAGAATACGTATCGATATCCGTATCAACGAAACACGTCGGAGATCTCTTCCCCTATATATAAACATACGCTAAATTTGTTAAACAACTCCCCAAACGCTTACGGGGTAGCAAACTTTTCACACGGTCAATTTCTCTATCTCCCATGTGGGTGTTTATTCGGCGGGTTAACGCGAAATCAAAACTCAGGGCACTAAGGGAATTATGGAAATCAAAGCTGAACTCGCCTTAAATTTAAACATGGCCAAACGAAGCGAGATAACTTAATCTATACAATTTGAATGACAAGTGTTTTCCGATTTTCAACGATAAGATACTGCCTGTCATCAGGATTAGATTTTGCATTATTGGCGAAACATTTTCCATCAGATTATAGAACAGGCGAACGTTCTTCAGAAATATACAACCTCATTTTTCGTGATATTCACGATAAATGTACCGAATTAGGATACATATCATTTACGTGCGTGTTTCATTACTTTTAAATTAATTGGGATTTATTAACCGTTGTATATTAATTTCGACAATGTTGACCGGACAGGCGACCCGGTGACGAAATTCGCCCTATAAATGAAGAACACACCGTTATATCAGCGAGTTTAACTAACAAGATCACAGTAAACCAATTTCGAATTGAGATCCTTATCTCCAGGCATCAGCACTGAGTAATGTCGCCGGTTCTGCACTAATTTCCACTACAGTGATTTGATGATGGGTGACGTAATATCAAACAAATTAAATGTATAAAACCAATAATCTACAGCCTGACCAAATTGATGAAAATGCTATAATAATAATAATAATAATAATAATAATAGCAGCTCTCTCACGATTCAACCAACAACTGTGAAACTCACAGGATGGTACCAAATATCGCATTTAGGTTGTTTTGTCTACATTTTAGTGTTCTAGTATCTACGTATCTCTTTATAATCAACCGTAAAATCTCCGTTTTATTAGTTTACTTGTACATTTCAATGTCCAATCACTCTTTAATACGCACATTATTCCCACAATATGTTATTTGTAATTTTTTTAATATAATCAGCTTGGACCTGGAAATGGACATGTGTTACCCAAATTCCCATTGTCCCAAATCAAGGCCAAAGTCGCAAATGATTAATCAGCCTGAGTTTGAGTTGAAACCCCAACCTGATAGTCTTAAAATTAAATAGCCCAGCGCAAATGAAATCGTGTACAACCTGTCAGCTAGTGGCACGCGTCATGTAGAAAAAAAAAACATTGTTTACTGCTTTTTCATGTGATTGTTTGATGAACTCGCCAGTTGTCAGGATGTTTCTATTTATTATGGAAGATATAAAGCATTAAAAACGACGATATCTCGTGTGAACTTATAGTTGTGGTTTGACTGAGGAACTCTTTGTAATAATAATTTGCATATTTTCCCTGTATTCGGCGAAAAGCCAGTTTCATTTATGTATTTAATATTTTTCATTTGTTTATTTACACAGAATAACAATATTTTCCTCTCTACAACTATTATCTATTTGAACTCTTGTAAACACGCTGAATAAAAACAAACTGAAAATACATTTAATACACACTCTATGTCGGCACTCCAGCCTTCTTGTCCCGTGGATGTTCAGATAAATGAGATATTGGCCACAATAAACCGTCAAAATCACAGTTCATAATAATATATATATATATGAGTTTAGCTTTTTCAAAATTCGTGCATTTACAAAAAATGTGTACCCGCTAATATGTTAGTGTGTGGACGGGAGAAGAAACTATAATCAAATATATACACGTGTGTGTGTGTGCATGTATAGGTTGTATGGTCTAGTCCGGTTACCAGACGTGGCGA